ACACACACACACATACATTCACACAACACACCCCAGCACACACACGTGACGACCACCCCTACACACAACACCACACACACATGACACCATATACACACTCACACCACATACACACACATCAGTACACACAGACACACACACACACACACAGATACACAACACTCACAACACAGGCACAGCACAGACAGCACAACACACAGACACACACACACACACACACACAGACACAGATACACACTCACACATACACACTCACTCACACACACACACACACACACACACACACACACACACACACACACATTTGTGTATGTATTATATATGGTTAAAGTTGTATTAAGTGACTGAAGTAGGCAACATAACTCTATATAATAGATCTCCTTTGGCTCCAGAGCTTCTCTTGGACAAATGGACTTAAACTCAAACTGTATATTGATATTCAATCTAATATCTAATATTCCATTCCTCACATACTGAAGTATATATAATATCCTGCTGTATATTCTGTGGTAAGGTGTGTGTGCAGGAATGTGCACAGTGAGCATTCCTCAGATTCCCCCATCGGGATCATGGGATATGAAGTCTCCTCCCATGGGAAATGTTAGCTTAAAACACACACACACACACTTACTTATATATATATATATATATATCTATACACACACATATACACACACCGTGAGTCATACTTGTACAGAACCAGTACGACACATGATGGGAAACATTATGACTGTGGAGTTCTCTCTGCGACCACTAGAGTGCGAGTGTGTGTGTGTGTGTGTTTGCGCGCACGTGATTATAAAAACTAGGGCACTAATCTGGTTTTGCTCTGTGATCTAAGAGCATTTTATTGCTAGATTACTACACATATATGAGATTATATATATACACACACACACACACACACACATACACACACTGGTGCGAATAGAGGCACGCTGCAATGTCTGGTATGTGGGCACACACACTTTTTATTTAATGGTGTGTACACACCGTATAACCTTGTTTGTACACATTTTTTATAGTAGTAATATATAATACAATATATTGTATGTTATATTAAACATTTAATACTATAATATATATAACAGTCACGTTCTGGGACATTTGTATACTTTAATATTACATTTCTCTCTTTGAAATGAGCCATAGTGCATAATAATACATTTCAAATCAAATAAAGTCTTAACGTGTGTGTGTGTGTGTGTGTGTGTGTGTGTGTGTGTGTGTGTGTGTGTGTGTGTGTGTGTGTGTGTGTGTGTGTGTGTGTGTGTGTGTGTGTGTGTGTGTGTGTGTGTGTGTGTGTGTGTGTGTGTGTGTGTGTGTGTGTGTGTGTGTGTGTGTGTGTGTGTGTGTGTGTGTGTGTGTGTGTGTGTGTGTGTGTGTGTGTGTGTGTGTGTGTGTGTGTGTGTGTGTGTGTGTGTGTGTGTGTGTGTGTGTGTGTGTGTGTGTGTGTGTGTGTGTGTGTGTGTGTGTGTGTGTGTGTGTGTGTGTGTGTGTGTGTGTGTGTTCTGGGCAGCGCTCCAGGTCCACCACACCGATCCTGCCGAGTCAGCGCACAACACACACTCACACACACATTCCTGAGCTGCGGCAGATTCTTGTGCTCGTCAGCAGGGGTTGCGACCTGAGGATCGTCCTGTCTCTGTTTTCAAATGCTCTCACTTTTAAAACCAACCTCTCCATGGGGCTGATCACATGGTGTGTGATACTGCCATTTGATTGGCTGTTCGCTTCATACCAATGTTGTCAGATTTAGATAATAAAAGTCGGATTATCAGTTCCACTCAGTTTGTAGTAGTAGTAGAGGTGGTGGTGGTATTAGTAGTAGTATTATTAGTAGTAGAGGTGGTGGTGGTGGTAGTAGCAGTAGCATTGGTTGTTGTAGTAGTAGTAGAGGTGGTATTAGTAGTAGTAGTAGTAGTAGTAGAGGTGGTATTAGTAGTTGTAGTAGTAGTAGAGGTGGTATTAGTAGCATTTGTAGTAGTAGTAGTGTTAGTATTAGTAGTAGTAGTAGTAATAGTAGCATTGGTAGTAGTGGTGGTAGTAATAGTAGCATTGGTAGTAATAGTAGCATTGGTAGTAGTAGAGGTAGTAATAGTAGCAGTGGTAGTAGTGGTGGTAGTAATAGTAGCAGTGGTAGTAGTAGTAATAGTAGCATTGGTAGTAGAGGTAGTAGTAGTAGTAGTAGTAGTAGTAATAATAGTAGCAGTGGTAGTAGTAGTAGTAGCATTGGTAGTAGTGGTAGTAGTAATAGTAGCATTGGTAGTAGTAGAGGTAGCAGTGGTAGTAGTAGTAGTAGCATTGGTAGTAGTGGTAGTAGTAATAGTAGCATTGGTAGTAGTAGAGGTAGCAGTGGTAGTAGTAGTAATAGTAGCAGTGGTAGTAGTAGAGGTAGTAGTAGTAGTAGTAGTAGTAGTAATAGTAGCAGTGGTAGTAGTAGTAGTAGCATTGGTAGTAGTGGTAGTAGTAATAGTAGCATTGGTAGTAGTAGTAGTAG